GAGCAGAGTGACAAAAGCGAATAAAAGTAATCACCAGCCTGCCGCTCAGGGCAGCCAAGAAAGATGTGCGGCCCCAAAACAACAATAACAATAACATTCATACGTACATATGTATAACATACGCGACAGCGGCGATGGCGCTCCACCTCAAGCACGCAAACACACACATGTAGCTACATACGAGAGCAAAGAGAGTGGTCGGTTGTAAATAAAAAAACAAAATATCGAAAAACGTAAAGAGTGTGAGGTCTTGTGGAGCATTATGAACGAAGCCTGAAGGACAGTAGTCGAAAAAGACGACAGAATAAATGGGAAAGAAATCTTAATCGTATTGAATACTAGTTGATGCACGAAGCAATAACAACAGCGGCAACGACAATGCTCCAACAAGACTAACAACAACCGTAGCAGCGTCGCGCCGGTGCGAGAAAAAATCGGATTTGTGCTCGTCACACACATACACATTCAGATACATGCACATGCTTACAAAAGCCAGTACGCCCTAGAGTGGTGTATCACCCAGCCCCCCAAAGGAGGCGAAAAAAGTTAAAGAAAAGAAAAAGCAGCAATAAAAAATGCGACGATGAAATGATTTCAATTGAATTGTGAGACACACGCGACAGAATGAAATAGCAAACGAAGCCAAGAACCGAAGTCAAAGAAACCAAGCAAGTAGACAGCCAGCCGTACATGCAGTCAACCGGGCAAGCAGTCAAGCAGCAGCAGCAGGCGATAACGAACGGGCGAACCCAAACGAACCCCAATTACAACAACAGCAACTATGTTATAACAAAGAGCATACATAGCTATAAAGAAAAAAGTAAACCAAAAAAAAAAAATAATAAAAGCAACAGCGTATATGGCAGCAATGACAACAGCGAGAAATAATGGGCCGAGAGAGAGAAATAAAAACAAATTGAAGTGAATGAATGAATTTCAATACATTGGCGGCAGCTGTAATGGCAGTGACGACGACTTCGACGCATCCCACTCGCATGACCGAAGGCAGCGCATAAGCTCACCCATACAATATACTGGCATGTGCATGGAATTGAGAGACTCAGCGCTCTTGAAAAATAATCAAACGCGCTCAAGTGATCCAAAGCAAATAAAAGTAAGCAGAGAAAAAATCAAAAAACAAAAAATAAAAGCCGATAAAAAACCCGTAAAGAAAACAGTGCCGAAGCCATCGAAGACCCAACACACAAATACAATGTGTAATCAGAAAAACCGAAGAGCGAGTTGAATTTGCGTTTGGAGAGAGTCATTGCGCATGAGAGCAATTGAAATAAGAAAAAGTAAATAAAAGTTGCACCAAATACGAAGGCTAAAATTTGCTTAAAAAATCCACTATGACCGCTCACAAATCGAAATCGAAGAAAAAATTAAAAGAAAAAACATTTGAATGAGTGGTTGGAAAAACGAACACACTATCGTTGAGAGTATGAAGGAGAGCGCACATATGAATTTTCACCATAACGGGTTAGGTGGGGGTTGCAATAGAAAGTAATACTAACTTGCTTGTTGCCCAAAACAAAAACAAAAAATCAACAGCGTAACGCAATGACAAATTCAATGCAGTTAAAAGAAATCAAAAGCAAACAATGCCAACAACAACCCATAACAGTCAGTCAGCTATACTGTGAGCGCAACAGCAGCGCAGCAGCACACATACACACATATAAGCAGTCAAACGAAGGAATAAAGCAGCAAACCTGCTGCCAGTGTGGCTTGACGTCAGCTGTGACGTCGGCAGCGATTTTAGCCGTGGCATAGGTCAACGCCGCTGCCACTGGCACAGAATTGAGTGGATAGTTGGTGCAGAGAGCGCGTTTATTAGGCAGCAAATGAGTGTGTTCCGGTTTGAGAGCGCATTTTAGCTATGATTTTTCTACCGTTTCCAAACGATTTTTGAGCAGCATACTATGTTTGAAGGATGACTAGTTGTTGCTGCTGATTGGATTTGAGCATTTTATGCAAGGTGGTTTAAGGACTTTTTTGTAACATGCAGGTTAGATTGGAGGAGCATGCTTTGATAGAGAGTGGGAAAGCCTTATTTATATATTTTGTTTTTTAAATATGCATATATTTTATGTACGGAAAACATTATGAAAATAAGTAATTATGTGAAGAAATATATGCAGTTCATCTTAAAAATCTGAAAATGTTATAAATGATTCTAGGGTAACTTTTTCTGTAAGAAGGACCTCGAATTAGTCAATAAATAAAGTTTTCTGACAAGAATATAGTGAGCATATGAAATTGTTTGCAGAATTCGAATGAGTTAATAGTTTTTCAACCCATAAAAATCCGGAACCGTTCCGGTTATGTATGAGTGTCGTGGAAACTACATACTTGTACATATGTATACATCAACAATATTTATGTATGCCTAGCAACAACAGCGCGCCAGCATATCAAATCAGCCTTAGAAAAGTATAGCTCTGCGAATCAAAAGTTCAATAATTCCAGAGCTATTCGCTTTATTCAAAAAACAGATAGAAATAGATCTTTAGCATAAATATAAGTAATTAACTTTTACTGTGCACTGACACATCGTATGAATAAGCTTATTTTGGACTGACAGCGCTTTCCAATTTTTGTAATTAATTTATATGACGATAAATAAGTTTTGTAAATATTTTGTAATTCTAAAAATAAAATATTCAAAACATTTCAAGAACTTAAATTGCCCACAAGATAGCGTGATAGATTACGTTTGATTTTTTTTTTTCAAATATAATAAGTAGCAATTTTGTATTACATAAGACAGCATTAAATAATATATGTATTACCTAATACCAGTAAATAATAAAATTGTATATCTAACAAACTCATAAGAAAACTAATATACACAAATCTTAGTCACTGCTTAAGCTTTGAGCTATTGAAATCTTAAAAATTATTTTTTTAGTTATGTTATAAAACTTTTAGACTCTTGTGGGCAAAACCCAAACTATTTGTTATGTATTTATTTACTCGATTATGTATATGTACATAAGTACATTTTTTCATTTTACATTTCTACTTATTTATATACTGTACTCTACATAAGTATGTTCTATATATATATAATAATGAATGTATCTGTATGCTTATTATTTTCATAAGTATTTTTAATTTATTGAAATATTAAGGGTTGTGGTTACACTTCGAATACCAAACATATTACGCTTCAAAAAAATATGTAGAAATAATATGAATATATAGGTAATGAAAATGAAATCTTGATGAAAAATTTTTTTGTAGCAAATATTTACTATAAATAACATAATATTTTAGTTTTTTTTCTAAACGTTTTCGAAGAGAATTTATTTACGTGTTAAAGACTTCGTGAATAAAATATTGTAACTATTTATGTAAGAGTATTTCTAACAGTTTTTTAAGCTTTTCACTAAAAAAAATTTAATTATTTTGTTTCATAGTTTCACAAATTTTTATCAAATATATTTTTCTAAAAGTTTAAAATAGATAAAAAAAAATATTTTGACCCACTATTAATATCAATAAACTTTTTTAATAATTTTAACTTGTTAAAAATTAACTGATCTACAAAAATTAGCATTAAGTTATTAAAACTATTAAGACAATTTTTAATCAAATTTATTTTTTAAATTAGTTTGTGTTGTTTTTTCTCATCTTTAAAATTGATTAAAACATAGTCTGAGCCGCAATTAATATTACTAAATTTTTTATCAATAAAAATAACAATTCTTTTTATCTAAAATATTTTTATAAGAAGCATTTATTGTTTTTTTTTTATCTTAAAAAAGCCTTAAAAATGATCTATATATGTATGTATTTTATTGTTACTATTTCAATAATATTTAATAAATTTAATTTAAAATTATCTATCTCGGCGTTTCACCTGTGCACAATCTCAACAATAACTAATATGCCAGCCATTTACTTGAATGTACATATAAATATATACAAGCATTTAATAAATAAGATCATCCCACCACTCATTACTGCTGCGACCTGTACCGACTCTCATAAAATTCCAGCTACATTGAAAACCCTTCATTAACTAGTCACTCCATTTCTTTAACAACTTTCAAAAGCATTAAATTCTTTTCTTTTGAGCGCAATCATAAATCGAGCCAACAAACACCGGCACTCACAACAAATGAGCCGAAATAAGCCGATGCGAGCGCCATACTTCCGCAGTTGCTGCAGTCAGCATTGACGCGCGCTGCGCTGTCGCTATTGCCGACTGCGCGCAAAGAGTAAGCATTTACTACAGTAATCAAACCGAACACATGGAAATGTGGATGAGCAACAAAACCAAAAAATAAATATTGCAGAATAATATCAAAATGTACACACACAGCGAATGGGTAAAGTAAATCAAAGACAGAAAATTAAAATAAAATAAAAAAACAACAATTAAGAAAATAAAAACGACAACGTATGGGTAAAAAGCAATAACAATAAATGAGCCAAACTGAGGAAGAGCTACAGCAGCGTTGCGCTGTTGTTGTAATGCTGGTGATGGTGGGCGCTGTGCGAATGAACCGATGGAACAACCGATGATGGAAACGATGAAACGATTGGCAACGCCAAACCGAATAGCAATAACAACAAATACTGCCAGCGCCGTCAGCCACCAGCCACTAGCCACCAGCAGCAAGCAGCGCTACATACTTGGTGTAGCATTCGAAGAATCGAGCAGAAGAACAAACAGCGATAACAACAAACACACGCAGCAGTGTTAAACAGCGCGCGCAACAAGAGCACCACTACATCGACGAATTTCGAACGAATGTTGGCCAATACTCCACTGCACACATGCAGTCGCCATCGCCACACCGCGCCGCCAGCACATACACACACACCGATGTATACATATGTGCCTTGCGCTTATAACACACTGCTAGTTGTCTTGTGTGCGGTCGACGTCGCTGCTGTTAGCGCTGTCGCTTGGGCCATACACACGGGAGGGTTGTGCGCGCTTCGTTAATGTTCGATTTGTTCAGTCATCAGCCGAATTCGTGACAGGCAACATCTTATTAGATTATAGTTGCGCTGTCTGCGTGTGTGTCTGTCTGTCTGTCTTGCTTGTTTGTTATTATTATTATAGCCTAGTGTAGTACTACGCCGCTGGCCTGGTCGGACAGCGACAACGATCGATAGCAAATTGATCAATGAATAAATAAGTCGCAAAAAAATTAACGGGCTTTATTGGCAGTACGATATACGGTAAAAGGAGTTAATTAATTAATTAATTTAACTGTGAAGCAAAAAAAAAAAAAACAAAATAAAAACAAATCAGTGACAACAACAAACAAAAGCACGACGCGTTGCCTGAATGGTAGTGTAACAAAAATAAACCATTTTTAGCAACAATTTCGTATGAACGCAAAAATATTACATAAACAACAACACATGTTTGCATGTCAGCAACAACAACAACAATTATGCTAAATTGTAGGCGTGTATAAATATGCATATCTAGTAAATACTGTTTATATACAGGTGTGTGCTTGTGTAAATATGTGAGTGTTGGTAAATAAAACAAAGCAATGCAACAAAGTAGCAACAAAAACAACTGGCTATTAATAAAAATACGTTTTTTCTTATAATTTTTTCTTGATTTTGCGTCGGCGAAAATTTGTTATGCGGTTTTACACAATATTGTATCAAATTTATTTTATATGAATTTCGTGTGCTTACAACAAATACACAGCACGCACAAATATACAAATATTTTTTAATAAAAAGTGAAGCCGTGTTAAATACTAAGCGCAATAATTTTATGAAAACATTTAATATCTGTGAGTGTTAATAAATACTGACGCTATAAACAAAGTGATTTTAGAAAATTATGGATATTTGGTGGATTTTGTATGCGAAAATCACATGTTTGGAACTGCACGCTGCTAAAATTGTAAACTTTTTTTCTATGATTTAACAATAATGAAACAATTTTTTTTTTTTTTATAATTTAACAACTAAATATTTATATTAAGAAATTTGATTCAGAATTGTGCGTTAATAATTATTACCGGTATAAACGAAGTGATTTGAGAATATAATGAAGAACTTTTTAAATATTTTTTGCATAAAAATCATATTTTTGAAACTGTGGAACATTGTATAAATTTTAAAACTCTTTGTTTAATTTGACAATTTTTAATACGTAAAATATATGGTGAAAATTGGCACAATGAAGAACTAAGCGCTTGGCATGAAGCTCAAGAAAGCTATAAATCATAATTAGACTGCATTAATTGAAACTTAAAATAGGTAAACAATAAGAAGCATGTGAGAAAAATATGCACAAATATAAATCATAATATTATTACTTTTTGAAGAGAGTTTAAAGCTATATACTTTTATACCGTATACTTTTTTTTAATAAATATACAATTTTTTTCAATTAGTTGAGCACAAACTAAACAGTAAACTGTTTTCAAATCAATATTTTTCTAAATAGTTAAGCATATTTGTTGAAAATCGTGTGGGATATGATAGTAACGGAATTTTTTTTTTTTAATTAAATCATGAAAAAATAGTATTCTTTCTAAACTGTTGAGTTTATTTTTTGAAAATCGTGCGTGATATGAAAATAAAGGTATTTTTTAATCTTAAATCAAGAAAAAATAATTGTCAATTTCAAATTTTTACAAATCTTAAGTTAAATAAAAATGTTTGCTTTTTATTATTTTTTTATTTTTATTTTAATTAAATCGGTTTTCAATCAAAAAATAGTACATGATTTTTGACGCAGAATCTTATTTTAGTCATGAAAAGTTATTAAGAAATACAACTTCGATATTTAGTGCCGAGAAAAAAAAAATAAGTGAAATTAGCGACGGCAAAACACGCAAGTGACTTTTAATAAAATTAAAAAAAAAACTGTGTTAGAACAAATAAAAATAACAAAAACAAGTTCTGCGGGCACTTGATGGATATTTTACTTTTTAATAAAAAAAACTGTTAACAAATTGTTGAAAAAGAAAAAATATATATCAAATAATAGAATGTGGCATTATATGTGTCACAAAAACTTTGAAAAAACTAAAAACTGGCACTTTACAAAAAATGTTGTTCTTCAACTACAAAAATTTAGGTTTTTGTGTTTGCTCGGTTGTATAAAAAAAATTTATATTTAAAGGCTTGCCAAAATTTATTTATATTTTTCTGAAAGTATATTATAAAGGACGGGAAATACAGTAAATTCTAAGATATGCCTTTGTTGCCTCAATAAAATCAAATGTAATCTGAAAACAGCAGCAGAAAACACAATACTCAATACTTCGCAAAAGGAATCAGTCAAAAACGATTACAAAAATCAACGCCTACTAAGAAAATAAGTCAAAACACATTTTTTATGAGGCGTTTACGGAAAAATTTCATAAAATCTAGCAGTTTCAAAAACATAGCAAAGAAACACAAAACAATTATTTTTACGAAGTGAATTTTTATACAAAATACTTTCATTTTTTTTATGCACGAAAACAGCAGTAAGAGACACAAATAAAGAAACAAAATAAAAATGTATTTAATTATTGTTTATGAATGTGTGGAAAATGACAAAAATATTTTAAATATATAAAGACATATACAAAATCAAATATTAATGTTATACAGTAAAAAGGAACTGTGGGAAACTAAATATATAGCATCACCTAACGTTTTTCTATATGCAACAGTGTATTAAAAAATATTCAGTGCCCATTTTCCAACCAAAAAATAACAAGTTTACAATTCTCTTTCAGTAACAAATCGGAAAATTCAAAATTTCGCAATATAAATGGCTAAAATCAGACAAATATTAAAGTTTGTAGTGAGACGACATACGAAGAAAAAAATTTGAACCGGTAGCAAAATTGAAAAAAAAGTAAAATCAATGAAAGTGCATTAAATTGGTGAAAAAAAAAACAAAAATCAAAAAATACAGCATACAAATGTTAACGGTAAAGTGAAAAAGTGCAATAAGCAGCAGTGAGTAAAAGCTGCTTAAAAACACCATAAAAAAGCTGAAAGCATAAAATCATACAACATTTCAACGCAAGCAACAAAAAACACGGCAACGCCAGCTAATCAAACAAGAACAACGCGTGCCAAAACGCCAGCAACAACGGCAACAACAACGACAACAGCGTGTGTTGCCGGTGCCAGGGCGGATGTTGCAGCTGCTGCTGGTGCTGGTACACCCACAACAACAGCACCACCACTAACAACAACAACAGCATATAAAACAAACGCAATTATTATACCACCAACAACAGCGGCCACAACAACATTAGCAACTACAGCTAATACAACTGCATGCCTAACGGCGTCCAATAAGCATAATAACAACAATAACAATCACATAACACAAATTAATAAGTTTATAAGCAGTGATAATACGCATAATCAAAATAACAACAACAAACTGCAGTCGTCAGAATTATTATTAGCAGCTAGCAGCCACCGAATGCAGCCACAAGTGCCGCAAGCCGCTGGGACAGCCGATATGGATTTGACGGCTGTTCAATCGATGGATTGGTTTTTCAAAAAGGAGCAATTTTATCTATTGGCACAATTTTTACAACAGGTGAGTGCTAAAAGTCACTGTAATGGATTGTATATAAGGGGGCATGTGCAGCGAGTATTTTATTAGTTTGTGTCAATTACGTATATACTTATTACGTAAATACAGGTTTAAATATAACGCAGAGTATATATATATAATATATATATTTTCAGGATTTTTTGTCTTAAAAAATTATGAAACTTTATCAATAACTGCAATAAATGTAATAAAAAATTGTCTTCCTTGCGTTTTTGGCTTTAAATTCGGTCACAATCGTGGCTCGACGCGATGGTGCATTATCATCGTATAAAATCCACGAATTGTTCTTCCAGAATTCCGGCCGTTTTTGACAAATGTTCTCACACAAATGCCCAAATAGAACCCCTTATTGACCGTCTGTGCCTTCAGAAGACCATTATGATGCACTAAAATCAAAAAATTTAAAAAAACAAAAAACAATGAGCAACTCATTGATTTTTAAGCGGTATTGGCGTAATTTTTTCATTTCGGCTCGTATTTTCCCCTCCATTCCGAAGATTGTGAACTTGTTTGCATGTCAAACTCATAAATCCATGCCTCATCGGCAGTTATAGTGCTTTCCATGGATATGTGATCGAAATTCGCACGATTCGCACGATCCGACATGTCTAAAGAGAACTGTTTACGGCACCCGTCTTGAAAAAACTTCAGCTTTATCGGAATGAGTCGAGCAAAATAGCCTATTTAACATCCAATATATTGTTGAAATATATATTTTTTTTACGTCCGACACTTATTTTTTAATTTAACAAAACTAATTTTTAATAAGATTTAATATATAATCGAAAAAAAGTGAATGAAATTATAGAGTATATTTTCGAAATAAAATTTTCTTCTCTTAGCTAATTTTAGAAAACGTTTTGAAAACTATTTCGTTAGAAAATTACTATTGTACTTTAAGTCGCTTGTTATTATGTTCCTCTATCGAAAACTTTCTCGTAAAATGCCAGTTATTTTCGAAAAATATTTTCTTCAATACCTTGTTTCAAGGTACTTAAAGATTTTTTCTGAAATAATAATCACCAAATACTGTTGTTTTCCGAAAATGTTTTCGTGGATAGATTTTTGAAACGCCGACTATTTTCGAAAAAAAAAATTCGATTTAGCATGTATGAAATTACTTTTATTGAAATAAAAATCTATCCAATCTGAATTTTTTCATTTTCGAAAACGTGAAAAATTTCGAAGCTATTTTCGAAAAAAAATTTAATTATTTTCAGTTTTATTTAACTTTAATTTTTACAAAGCTTCTATTTAAGCTTTATAAAAATTTTCAACACGTCAATTACTTTCCAAAAAAAATTTCGATTTATCATGTACCTATGTGTCCAGCTCTTCCACTTATTTTCAAAGTTAATTATAGAAAATTGATCATATAAGTTTTTGTGAAATTGCCATATCTACTCATTTTAAATAACAAAAAAATCTATCAAATGGTGTTACTTTGCTTTTTCGAACAAGTGAAAAAATTTTGAAGCTATTTTTGGAGAGCAGTTTTGAAAATAATTCGTTAAAAACGGCTTGCTTTGTATTAAAAATCGTATCACTTACAAAATTACTTAGCACTAATATATAAGGATACAACTAAAGTACCATGGTTAATATATTGAAGAATACAAATTTTTTTTTTACCATTTCGGCACTTTTTCTTTAATATATCAACAAAGCTACATCAGATTTAAACATAGTATTTTAGAAAAACAGGCAGCAGATACAAAATAAAAAATTTTGCTTTTTTAAACTTCAGATATCTTTCAAAACCAAGATCTTGAAAATATTTTTAAAAAATCTTATTTAATTCTAATTCAGAATAATTATTATTTGCTACTTGTATGCCATATGCAAATAAGAAACGTCAATTTTGTTGTTGTGCACTCAAAATAACACAAAATTTTAATATTTTTTATGCTAGTTCCAATGTTTTTATTTCAAAAATGATATTTTCAAATTAATTTTACATTTAGCATTGCAACTTGTGAGTCATGTGCAAACATGAACGTCATTTTATTGTCGTAGTTTCAAATAACACAAAATTTTATTTTTTGTCAATTCTAGATCAAAAGTTTTTCATTCAAAACTCTTGTTTTCAAACTAATTTTGCATTAAAAAAATGTTCTGATTGATTTTCACTTCATAATATTTATTTTTAACAATTATTGTTGTCAGCTGCAAAACTACTTTGTAATGTTGCAGGCACAAAATAATAAAAAGCTTCACTTTTTAAAATTTTTTAATACCTAATAGATCCAGTTTCCTTTCGAAATTGAGCACTTTAAATGAAATTCACATGAATTCTATTGCATAACACAAATTACCACTTTTTCACTTCAAAACCATTTATTTTTCGCAACTATTGCTGTTGTATGCAAATCGTGCACTTGAATTTTGTGATTTTTGTTGCATCACAACAACAGCGTGGCAGTGTTGTAACTTATAATCTCAAAGCAAATTTTTCAATAATAAAATTCAATATAATTACAACCGCCTGGCAAATGATGATTGATTGACTTATTGAGTATTTAAGCGTTGAAAATGTGTAGAAAAAGCACCAGTTGGAAAAAATACCGTTATATCATCACAACAAGCGCTAGCTTAACAATAAACTAATATGCAATCAATCGACAATTGGCAATAGAAAAATGCAAATTCATAGCAAACCAAAGCCTTACATACATACATATGTATGTGTTTGTTTGTGTGCGTAAGTGGCGAAAAAAATTTGCTTGCTTAAATAAAAACCACACAATTTGCTGCCCGCTTGCCGCCACTGCAACTGTCTAGCAGCCGCTATGCGCTGCTGTGCCGCAATTAGCGTTTGCCGCACACGCACACACACACACACAAGCGTATTGTGACTTCAATGCAATTTCTCAATTCATTTTCCAATGTAATTACTCAATTCAGCGACTTATAGACGCGACCGGTTGGCTGACGGCGACGCGTAAGCTTTTCACTTTGAACGCCGCATAATTATTTACAGCAAATGTTTGTGATTTCGTCACAGGACAGCAATATTAACAGCGAAAGTAAATTTGTTGTAAAAAAAAGCCAGAAAGAAGAAATTTTAAAAGTTGCAGAAAAAATGGTGTTGCAAGCGTCTAGACGAACCTGGCTGGCTTAGCGCAACGTTGCATAGATACATATATGCTATATAGCCAGCATATAGATATTATTGACTTAAATACGTCTGCCTATATGGTTGACACTTTTCATTTACAAATTTACAATAATACTTGCTTGTTGCAATAAACGGGGCATTTTTGCACGTTGAAAAACCGCAACAGACAATTTGGCCGTGCGCCAATCGGAAAATACAAGAAACAAACGCAACCCTCGCTTGCTGCAAAATGCAAACATAAATGCATTTCTATTTGCACAAAGTGCCACAAATATACACATACACACACACACACGCGCGTGTATGCAGCATGCGCCGCTGCCACTTGTGTCTGGCTGCTCCAGCCGGTCGTTTTGTGTGTGCAACTATTTTTAAGAGCCCTTCATTAGAATTCTTACTTGAAACGATCGCATAAATTTCAAATTTTGAAGTTAATTACGTTGCAAATATTGATTTTGAAGTTGCAAATGAAAGATTTTCCGTGGCAAGTGGTGGCTAGATTGCTTGTGCGCTGGCAGTGTTGTTGGCGTTATGGTGCATGCCAGCGCAGATGAGTTATATTTGTGGTAATTTTATAATTTTGTGACATTGGAAGCCGTTGTGGCGCTGTGTGACGAAGTGTGCGATTCGCGGAAAGACGCCGGAGATTGGAGCATTCCAAAGCAGAAATAGATGTTTTCAATGCTTTATTTGAATTAAGTTGTTGTAGTAAAAATGGAAAAAAAGAAATATTTTTTGAAGTTTCGTGGTTTAAGCTGCAAAAAAAATTAATCATTAACTTAAGTGAATTTTTTTAATTTCGAAAATTAAAATTAATTTTTTTAATTTCGAAAATTAATTTTTTTTAATTTCGAAAATTAATTTTTTTAGTTTCGAAAATTAATTTTTTTAATTTCGAAAAATTTAAAAAATTTTAAATTAGAACTTAGTTTAACTTATTTTTTAATTTTGTAATTTTAAATTCCTACACTTCGAATAAATTTTTTTCTTTTTTAATTTCGAAAGTTTAAATTTCAAATTTTTAATTTAACGTTTAATTTTTTTGTTTTTGTAATTTCTTTAAAATGCACAAAAACAGTTAAAATATCTTTTTTTATTTATGTATATTATGTAATTTAAAATTAGAAAATCTGCTGCTAATTACAACATCACAGGTTCAAACCATTCAATTACTTTAGATAGTCCAACTCAAATATTCCCTAACCTAGCAGCAAACTTTATAGATTTTAAACGTTATGTGCTCTAAATTCATTTAGAGTTTTCGAATTTGAAAATCGTTTGCTTATACAAGATTACAGCTTGGAAGCAATTCAATTACTTTGAGTAATGCATTTCAAATATTCATTAAATGAAAGCAAATTTTATATATTTGAAACATTTCTCTTCATCCACAATAAGCTTCCAAATTAGAAAAATGAGTGCCAATTACGACATTACCATTCAATTACTATAAGTACTGCAAGCCAAATACTCATAATTATTGAAGCAAAGAGGTAGTATTTCTCTTGTAAAATCATTTAGAAAGTTAGAAATTCAAAAATCTGATTGTAATCTAGCTAGCATTACCAGCTTAAATACATTAAATTACTTGAAGAAATGGTACTCAATTATTTATGATTATTATATAAGTAAAATTTATATCATATATTTGACAATTTATTTTCTCTAAATTCATGTGGAGCTTGCGAATTCTAAAATCGATTACTTATACAACATTACAGATTGGAAGCAATTCAATTACTTTCAGTAATACGACTCAAATATTTAGAATAATTAATAAAAAATTTATATTATTAAAAATATATTTTCTCAGGCTCCATGAACCGTTTTCAAAATAGCAAATCGGGGAATATTTATAATCTAA